TTAAATTTCTTATACAAAACTATCATTATTTCACTTATACACAGGAATTTTCACATGAAAATAACACAGAATTTACCTTTTTAGCACGTACAATTAACCTGAAATATTTTACAAGTAATTTTTACATAAATCACTGAATTACAAACATTTTAAATTTTACATATTCGGCCTCCTAAGGGCGTGGCTTGGCGTGCGTCTATGAACTCACACTATTTGAACAACTAACTTTTGCACGGCTCTCGGCTATCAGAAAAAATTAAATTATGAAATACACCAATTTTGACCATATTAGGCAAATTAAATGCTTTATACAATTTTCGAACTGTATGAAACTATCTTTAATCAGATAACAATATAAATGAATGTTCTCATTAATCAATCATAACAAATAGGCATTTGTTTTCGTACAAAACGTATCAAACTTATACAAAACAACATTTATGCAATTAATATCCATTAATTCTGCCTATGCACAGAGTGATTATCTCGACCGGGGAACAAATCCGATCTTTAACTTCACTTTAATATTCTTATGAATTTACATCATTTGAAAGATGATTTCAACCGGGGGAACAAATCCGGTAACATAATTTATATCTTAAATTCCTTACGAATTTATTAAGCGATATTACTTAGGAAAACAAACAAACTAGTCCGGCCTGGGAGTCGAACCCAAGACCTTCATATCATTAATTCGACATTTCTTAAAGATTTAACTAAGCATTCTCTTATCAGAGCGTCGTTGTTCGTGACTGCCCCTTTTTTCATAGCAACGTCATCGGTTGATTTAATAAACTGAAACATTTTTATAGGCGCGTCGCCAACATATTATGATTATAACATAATATACTGATTGGCGTGTCTGAGGGTGTGCGTTAATTACGTTACATATTGTATATACACAAGAATTGCTCGTAGGTATAGGATTTATATTTTTGTTTTACCAAAAGCTTTTGTTGAGTGCTTCGAAATTAGGAAATATCATTTTCAAACTTCCTGGTTTTGGTTATTATCACAAAATAAATCGTGTTATACATTTGTTGTTATCTCTTGTTTATGAATTATAGTGTAGTTATTACGTGTTGGTTATGACATGTCTAATTATTGTAATAATTGGTACTGTTACAAATCATCAGTGTTATTAGTTTTGAGTGAATAGTCATTTATCAGTATAATTATGTTGTTTCAAATAGGTGCTTCTGTTTTGATAAAAAATTCAATAGTGTAATGTAATAAAATAAAACTGCCTTATATTGTAATCAATGTTGACATAATTTATTTCCCAAAGTTATAAATCAATTAAATAGTTTACGCCAACAAATATAAATTTTAATTTTATAACAATCGTACATAGCGTTTTGTAGTTCTGCCTACCCAATCTACACACACAAAAATTAAAAACTTGTTTTTTTACATACACGCCATCTAGTGTTCTAGCTTCGTAAACGTAGGGATACGTCTGTGTAAACGACACTATATTCAATGACAGATGTTATAATCAAAATTAATGTCGAATTGGCTGGATTTTGAGGCAATGATATGAGCCATTCCAATAAAATGTAATATCCGATAATCGCTAAGTCTACTCCTACGACTGAATCATTTTCCAATTACAGAAAAATCCAAATAAACTAAAAATGTTGACTTCATCGCCATCTTGCGCGAGAATGGCTGGGAACAGTCCGTAGGTTTCACCTTAAACTACTTTCTTTACTCGATGTAGTACTACAAAGTACGTGTAGATGGCGCGGTTACGGAATAATTTCATATTTTCTAAAATTGGTTTTAAATGTTTTTTTTTTTTCTTAAAGTTGTCAATTTATTTGAAAAACTCTATATTGGGAAAATTCACCTATTGATTTTGTATCTCTCTGTTGATTTTAAGCTGCTATGGTTTTTTTTACTATTGCTATAATTCTGTAATAGGTTGATACAGTATAAAGTAGCTCATAATGACGGAAGGGAGAATTTGAAGTAGATTATTTTCTTATATTATTTCTCATATAATCTTAATAGTACCGAGACTAATTATAATATTTTTTAGAATATTGTTTGTATAATTCTTATAAATAAACATTAAAAAAATAATAAATCTGAAAAACAAAAAAATAAAAAGTGAGTTGGTGAAGTTTACTCCATAAGAACGACTATAAAATATATAGATTCGTAAATGTAAGTAAATGAACGCATTTTTATATTACTGAAAGCATGCATGATATATTTACTTATATTAATTATATAATTTATATTAATCAAAATAATATGTTACATAGCCATGGAAACGTAAATTGTTTACGTAGTCATGGAGACATGAACACAGCGTCCACCGAGATCACATTCGCATGAGTCCATACCGTACTACTAGACAGACAGCAGACACTCGTCTGCCTTGTACGCTTTTTGATTGAAGTCCCGAGTCCCGACTAGTCTCGAGTCTCGAGTATTGTCAGACAAGATAGAAAGACTGCGGAATAGTGTAGTTATGGACAGAATATATTCTTACACAACACGAGTGCGCGTCACGTTACTTTTATGTGCATTGAAATATGGTTTAAATTCAAATGACTGACAAACTAATGATTTAGGCAAACGCGACCGTAAGCGCCTAGTAAATACGGCAACAAAATATGAGTACGACGCGTAGGCACAGTGAGACTAGACGGATCGAGTATTTTAAAAGTTGGAATAGGTGCAACCTAGTCTCGTTAAATACTTAGTCCCTAGATCTGTTCTAGTATATACGCTTCATCTCTAGTAATTAGCCAAAATTGCAATAACCTTGCTAGCCAGTTATTTGTGGTGGAATAGCTAGCGAGATAACCAGCTAATCGGCTATTTGGATAAATGACTCACTAACCAACCGATAGTTGAAACCGCGTTCGGGAAATTACGACGCATCTTCTCGTCAGGTATACCTACCTCAAAACCTGAAAACAAAGTTGTACCACCAGTACGTGTTGCCAGTGATGACCTACGGAACCGAGACGTGGTTCTTCACTGCTGGCCGTATGAGGACGCTCAAAGTCGCTCAGCGAGCTATGGAGAGGGCTATGTTCGGAGTTTCTCTGCGTGATAGACTCAGAAATGAGGATATCCGCAGTAAAACCAGAGTGACCGACATAGCCCAACGGATTAGTAAGCTGAAGTGGCAATAGGCCGGCCATATAGCTCGAAGAACCGAAAACCGTTTGGGAAAAAAGGTTTTCGAGTGGCAGACTCGTACCGGTAGGCGAAGTGTAGGACAACCCCTCACTAGATAGAGTCACGACCTGGTAAGACATGCACGTAGTCGATGGATGCAGGTGGCTCAGGACCGTGCTTTGTAGCATACCTTGGGGGAGGCTTATGTTCGGCAGTGGACTTGTGAAGGGGTGTAATGATGATGATGATGATACCACATTTATATTTTGTATTAAGTTATCATTCATCTCCGCTAGGGTTGATAATGTTTTGTGATTTTTACCAACTAAATTGGATAACAGAAAAACACGATTTAAAACAAAATCGCGAAATATAAAAAAACAACAGTGCGAACGCTAACGTTGACAAATCTATAGATAAACAAGTAAAATGTCTATGTTGTAATCAATGCGAACACAGCTAAAAACAAATCTTGATATCTGTTGAAAATTTTACACAGTTTTTGTGAGTGCGAACGCTACCATCAACAAAACATGTTGTGTGATTTATTTTATGCGATTTGTTTCAAAACATTACATGTTGGATGTTTCTCAGTGCAAACGTACTATTAGCGTAGCCATTCTAGTGTAGCTAGGACTGTCATTGCGTTTGAATCTTGCCGTGGAACATATTTATATTTAGATAAATAAAAATAGGGCCTTTTTTATATTTTCTTATTTATTTTATATTTCCTTGAAAAGAAATGAATTTCCCTCATAACTATGTCGTACGTATATTATTAAATTAAATTATTAAAAACTGTCGGAATATCATATCAATGTATATTTTAATGTGCCATCTATATTTATAAATTAAGAAACTGCTGTAGCATCAGACTTAGTTATGTTATACAACATTCAACAGTACAAGTAAACTAAAAGATATGCCATAGATGTCGCGCTACTCCATTTTTTTATTTCTAATGATGCTATCGTTGTAATTTTAAACCTTATTTCATTCTGGATAATGTTATAAATCGTATAGTTGATAATTCACTTATGTTGATTCAAAGCTTTAAATGAGCATATGCCAAGGCAAAGTCATAAACAGATCTCCCCGCATGACCGCTTAAACGTGATCCGAGCCCCCGCCCCCAGAATGAGAGGAGCAGCCTGAGCATCCACGCTCAAGAAGAGAAGGCTAGCTTGGATGTGGGTGCTGAATGAGGGATTCTCCATTACCTGGGGTGCTGGTACCCGCCTGGGGTAGTCTTTTATTTTTAAATTCCGCTACCATGTTATGGGAAAGGGGTGGTCACCTGCACTTACCACGCGCAGAAGCAGAAGCAAACCTACTTCACGCTGGTATTCTGTGAGGTCGTAGCGCTTCCCTCGGTTCGAGCCGGCCCATCCGTGCAACAGCCAAATCTGCCGCGTGGCTCCTCCACTGTTAAAAATATTATATAAATCACATAAATATGTAAATGATCCAAAAGAAAACTGAATGAATGCTTGCTTTTTTTCTAAGAAAAATAAAAAAGTTATATTAGGATAATTCTTGGTTCTTCGAACCGGATACGGTAAATTTTGGGTCTTCGAGTCGTATGAAATAAATCTTTGATTCGTCGAGCCAGATTTACTTAGCTAATGTTTGTCTTTCAAGGCGGATAAAGCTAAAAAACTTTTGGTATCTCGATCTGGATATGGTCGGAGCGAGATGTAGTTAGATCGTGTGGCACGTGCGCAGGAGTGCGGGCATGGAGCGGGCGATGGTGTAGTGCGCAAGCTGGGTTTCCCCGAGGCAGTTCGGTCAGGCAAATAGCTAAATTTTAGTATTTCGAGCCGGACACAGTGGGGATATAATTTGAGCGTGTGGTACAGGAGAGCGGGCACGTGCCGAGCGGTGGCGCGGCGCGCAAGCTGGGGCTGCCCGAGGTGGTGCTACCGGGCGACGCGCGCAACGAGCTGTACGTGACGCTGTGCGCCGGCGCCTACTCGCGCGGCGGCGGCAAGTCCTCCGAGCGCAACATCGAGCTCACCGCGCGCCTCGTCGACCGACGCGGACGTCTCTTGCCAGTAAGTACACTGTGCACAAGCTGGTGCTGCCGGGCGACGCGCGCAACGAGCTGTACGTGACGCTGTGCGCCGGCGCCTACTCGCGCGGCGGCGGCAAGTCCTCCGAGCGCAACATCGAGCTCACCGCGCGCCTCGTCGACCGACGCGGACGTCTCTTGCCAGTAAGTACACTGTGCACAAGCTGGTGCTGCCGGGCGACGCGCGCAACGAGCTGTACGTGACGCTGTGCGCCGGCGCCTACTCGCGCGGCGGCGGCAAGTCCTCCGAGCGCAACATCGAGCTCACCGCGCGCCTCGTCGACCGACGCGGACGTCTCTTGCCAGTAAGTACACTGTGCACAAGCTGGTGCTGCCGGGCGACGCGCGCAACGTGCTGTGATCGTCCCGATCACAGCCAGGCGAGACGATCTGCCGCTTAACATATGCGTGCAGATCAGGCGCAAGAGAGCGTTGAGAAAGCTCTGGGCGCGTACTCGCTGCCCTAGATTAAAGACCCAGCTCAACACCATCTCGGAGGAACTGTCGGTTGCAGTCCAGGCCTTTAGAGGCGACGCTTGGGATCGGCGCATCAGGAAGGCCGAGGAGCAAGATGTGTCGCTCTATAGACTGAACCGGCAGTTAACTAGAACCAAACCTCCCGTTTGCCCGCTGATTAACAACGCAGGCAAACGCTGCTATGATGCCAAGGGCAGAGCGGATATCCTAGTCGAGCACTTCGAGGAGCAATTTATGCCGAACCCAGCAAGTGCGGAGTTCATGGAGCTTCATGGCAGGAAGGAAAGTCGCGTGCAGGAGTTCCTGTCGTCGCCCGCGCCGCCTCTTGCAGGAGAGTGGTTCATCTCCCCCGCTGAACTGCGGAGGACAGTAACCCGCCTGCAACCGAGGAAGGCGCCGGGGCACGACGGGATTACCAACGCTGCACTCCGACAGCTGCCCAATAGAGTCATAGTAGAGATTGGTCGACTCTACAATGGGATATTGCGGACATCCCACTTCCCGGAGATATGGAAAACAGGCAAAATTATCGTCTTGCCGAAACCCGGGAAGGACAGGCGTAGAGCTGCCAGCTACAGGCCGATTACGCTATTACCACACATAGCTAAACTGTTTGAAAGATTGCTGCTAAGACGTCTCCGTCCGTGCATCCAACTTCGGGCGGAGCAGCACGGATTCAGGAGAGGACACTCTACAGTCACACAATTGACTAGAGTGCTGCACCTGCTTGCGGCAGAGTATAATCGTGGCCGCATATCGTTGGGCGTCTTCCTCGATATCGAGAAGGCGTTCGACCGGGTGTGGCACATAGGACTACTATACAAGCTGAAAGAACAGACCAGTGTCCCTCTTGCTATGTTGCGGTTAATGGCGTCTTTCCTGGAAGACAGGAAGTTCTACGTCTGCGTAGAGGACGCCGAGTCCGCAACTAAAACCATCAGAGCCGGCGTTCCACAGGGCAGCTGTTTGTCACCAGTCCTGTACGCGGCTTATACTAACGACATACCTACACTGGCAGGCAGGCTTCAAGAGTGGGAGGACGACGTTGAGCTGGCGCTATACGCGGACGATAGCGCCTATTTCACCTCGTCCAGAAGAGCCCACATAGCCACTGCCAAGATGCAGCGTCTGCTGGACCTGCTGCCACCATGGCTGGATGAGTGGAGGATGGTCGTCAACGTTGGTAAGACGACCGCTCTGCTCACTCGCCGTCTCAGGAATTTACCACCTCCGCTGACCCTCAACGGCCAGGAGATTGCGTACCAGAAGGCCGTAACCTACCTTGGGTGCAAGATCGACAGGACGCTGCGCATGACCGCGCACGTCGACTTCGTCGTCCGCCGGGCCCGATGTGCGCGGGCGACGCTCTTGCCGGTACTTGCATCCAAGTTGCCTATAAACACCAAGCTCCGGATATACAAGATGTATATCCGGACCATCATCACGTATGCTGCTCCGGCCTGGTACGCACTTCTGAGCAACCCTCTGAGGCGGCGACTGCAGGCCCAGCAGAATCTGACATTAAGGACGATCGTCGGAGCAGGTCGCTACGTCCGGAATGACGTCATAGCGGCCGATCTGAAAGTCGAGACCATCACCGACTTCGTGGCCCGGTTAGCGCGCGGCATGTTTGACCGTGCCGATAACGGGCCACATGAACACCTGAACGGCTTTGCGCCGCTACACACCCGGCCACCGGACGGGCGACCTCTTCCAAGAGAACTCCTCTCTATATGTGATTAGAGAGTTGAGTAACAACCCACAATGCCGCTGAAAGGCCAACTCTGTCTATATTAGATAACCACTCTTTTTTCCGTAATTAACCAATTACGGAAAAACCGGACTTACCATCACGCCTGAATAGGCAACAAGGACTGTCCCATAATAATGGGACATGAGGACACCCGGGTAATGGGGGTCACCCCGAGGCCCGATACCTGTATTGCATCTCGGTGCAATCAGACGACAATCAACGGCAACGAGCTGTACGTGACGCTGTGCGCCGGCGCCTACTCGCGCGGCGGCGGCAAGTCCTCCGAGCGCAACATCGAGCTCACCGCGCGCCTCGTCGACCGACGCGGACGTCTCTTGCCAGTAAGTACACTGTGCACAAGCTGGTGCCGCCGGGCGACGCGCGCAACGAGCTGTACGTGACGCTGTGCGCCGGAGCCTACTCGCGCGGTGGCGGCAAGTCCTCAGAGCACAACATCGAGCTCACCGCGCGCCTCGTCGACCGACGCGGACGCCTCTTGCCAGTAAGTACACTGTGCACAAGTGATTATATTACAATATGATATTAATGTACAGGTTTATTTCGCAATATATGGCCATACTTGCAGAGAGGATTCAGAATAAGAAATATGGACGAATGGTGAAGAAAAATTCCTTTTTATCTTTTAAATTCAAAACGCGTAGTAATGCATTATTTTAACTGATAACACCTAATATTAACGCACGCAGATTAAGTAAGGGTCGTTCCGTTAAATTATTTAGGTACCTTGTCGTGCGTGTTTCCCCGTCCTTTCCTTCCATTAACTTTTACATTGCTAAGCCGGCCGACAGCTGATGACAGTAACGACCTTATGACCTCATTACTTACAAGTGTGCTACTGCTATTTTAAAATTTTCGTAAGTAGTAGTGTCGCTTCTGTTACTAATGACGGAACGAAAATATTCAAACCCCTACTATGAAACTAAAAAATGTTGTGAATTACATTTTAAGCAATGGAAGTTTATGTGGTGCGCAAAGATTATACGAAAGCGAGTCTTTGCCTCGGCAAGAAATTAACGTACGTGTATCTTACCCACCAATGGAAGAACAATCATAAATCATAAATTTTTATTTGCAAGAATCACGGTATAAAAAGATCTTACAATTTGTCTAGTGCAATCGTGTTTCGCTAACAATGGTAAATAGCATGCAAATATAGAATCAACAATATTAATTAATTACAGTCTATAAAATCTTTTACGTCATAATATTCGGTTTTTAACCAATTAAACAAATGTTTCTTAAATAATCTTTCACTTAATAATTTAAATTCATTAGGTAGTTTATTAAATATTTTTATACACATATTTAGGCATCTTTTGTTTTCGACTCAACTCAACTTTTTTTAACGATTCTAGGAATAATATCTAGAACTAGTTTTTCTGGGTCACGTTGATTTAGGGGATATATATCACGCGCTTTAATAAACAATTACTTATTTTTAAAGACAACATACTAACTTCATAAATGTATAGTGACGGGAGGGGTAATATACCAAGTCTCTTAAATACTGGTTTACAAGAAATATCTGGCGACATCCCGCACATTGCACGAATACATTTTTTTTTGGGCAACGAATGCCCTATTTCGGTCAGTACTATTACCCCATATTATAATTCCATAGCGAAGAATAGACTCTACGTATGCGTGGTACGTTGCAATTGCCGTCTTAATATTTGTAATGTTTTTAACGATTTTAAGGGCATATACAAATTTATTGACTACGGCATACGTTATCTATTTGTTCTTTCCAGTTTATATCATCATCTAACGTTACTCCCAGAAATTTTGTACATGTAACTTTTTTTTAGTTTTGGTATATTAAGTTTAATATTATGATTTGAATTGATAGATTTATTAAATTGTATGTAATGAGATTTATCTAAATTAATTTTCAAATTATTTACGTCAAGCCATTCTATTAATTTGTCAATTGTATTATTAATGTCATCTTCATGATTCCTAATTGTATTATTATTTTTATTGCTAGTTACAATAATTGAAATGTCATCAGCGTATAAAACACATTTATGATTCGTAATGTCAACAATGTCATTAATATATAATAGGAAAAGAATCGGTCCTAATATACTTCCTTGCGGAACGCCAATTTTATTATATTTTTATCCAGATGAATGAGATGTAAAGTTATTGTTTTTATCTATTTTATCAATGATAACATATTGTTGTCTGTCTTTTAAATATGACGATAACCACTGAAGTATTGGTCCTCTGATCCCAATTGTCTCTAATTTTTGCAATTGACAGCTAATTAAAGTATTTGTAGCAGCCAGATTAATCAAACCTAAACGGGAATAAATAATATATACTCCGCTGCTACCATAACGCGGAAGGCGAGAATAAATAAAAAAAACATTTTATTTCCTAATTATTCTTGGCTACTGAGATACTGCGGACTGTATATAGATAATTTGACGTTCTTATAAAGAAACAAGAAGCAGCCGCAAATATCATTCAGCGCCACACCGACTTCACACGCCGCTATCGTCACGTATCCGTCGACCAATGGTGAGCCGTTTCTTCAACGCCGCAGTTCGTTTCCTCTTGCTGTTCCGGAGCTGTATTCCACACCGCCGCCGCCCGCCGACTACGCGTGCGCACCGATCTGCATGTCTTATATAGCCCGGTCCAGCGACGTAGCTTCGTGAACAACAAACAAGTCTCACGCCGGGAAACGAAACGTAGATAATTGTATATTTTAAATAGTTTTCATTGGTCATAAAATAAGCAATATAATTGGCTAGGCAAAATATTAATTGTTACCATTGGCAAATCAATAGTGAGCCAGCCATATAAATATAGGCAAGGTTGATGCAAAAGATATTCCATTCCGAATCCCATTCGACAGTACATTCATAAACATAAACAGTAGTTTCATTTCTCCACCTTGAAGAAAACCACTAGGAGTCTGTTAATAGTGGACAGTTCGTCTCCACTATTACAGTGGTGACCCCGTACGAACACCGAGGGGGGAAGATCCGGTACGAACACCAAGAAGGAACACCCTGCGACGTACCACTACTATTGCACGAACACCGCGAAGGAAACCCGTACGAACACCGAGAAGGAAGACTTCAGTTTATATAAAATCAGTGTAATCAAGCCGTCATTATGGACCAGGAGGCAAACACATATACATCAAACCCGGTAAAGGAACCAGAAATCGCCGGTATATCTCTATCGTTAAGAATACCACCGTTTTGGAGAGACAAACCACGACTTTGGTTCGTCAGTTTTGAAGCCGCAACGAATGGTTTAAAGAAGAGCCAAGCGCAATTAGCACAGATGGTGATAGCCCAACTTGAGAAACAAGACATCGAACAAATTGCGGACCTGTTGTACAACCCACCAGCAGTCGACCAGTATAATTCACTGAAGGATCGTCTGATCTCCGCATATGAAGAATCCGACAGTCGACAGCTACAAAAACTTCTATCAGAAATAGAACTTGGAGACCAGAAACCCACACAACTCCTACGCAAAATGCGTACTTTGGCGCGAGATAAAGTTCCGGATTCAACACTACGGCTAATGTGGGTAAACCACCTACCACCACATATTCGATCGGTAATAGCAGTCAGCGAAACATTCAGCACGCAGACGAAGCTCGACGAACTGGCACTCCTGGCGGACAAGATGATCGAAAACAGCAGTAGCTCACACATATCGATCATCTCAATTCAAGTGCATTGAGCGATAATTTAAATAGTGATTATAAACCTAGGTGGATTGCGTATAGAGGTCCTATACTATGGTCTGCAAACTTGCTAGAACTTTAACCGTTAGACTTTTATCTGGGGGGTGAAATAAAGAGTAGTGTTTACGTCAAAGTTATGAAAATTAAAATTATTGCTGCGTTCGCGGAAGTTAAATGTGCTCAACCACGTAATGAGTGTAAAACATAATTTAAGAAAACGTATTCGTCTATGCATCGTCGTTATTCATTTAAGCATTAACCCTTAAGTGCATATTGTATCAAAAATGATACGATGAGATTATCGATTCATAATTTTGTTAAACTACGTACACACAACTATGCTGTATGTAAAATATGTCCTATGCCTGATCATCTTTTAGAATGTTTAAGTAATCGATGACCATTTCCTAAATAATTTGGCGGTAACTATGAAAACTTTTTTCCTGTCTGTCATAACCTTTTTCGTGGGATTACAAATTTTTATTGATTTATTTCGGAGTGATTTTAACACAAAAGCTGACCCGGAAAAATATTAAAAATAAAGGTTAGAGTATTGTTTCACTGTTAAACACATATTTCAAGTGAATTTTACTGGCGTTTGATAAAAAAATGATAATTTTAGTTGTATCAAAAATGATACATTATGCAGTTAGTAGGTCCCGTTTGTACATTTTCGCTAGTATAGTAGGCTTGTATGATATGTGATTGTTATATGTTTTTCCTCACTTTTTTGAGCATGGAAAAAAGAAAAATAAAAGATAATGAGATTGAAGACCTTTTAGCAATATTGGAAGGTGGATTTTTATCGGAGGAGAAAGCAGAGTCTGATGATTATGAATTAGATTATCACCCAAATATTGATGAAATTCGTGCTGCTTTAGTAAATCACGGGGAAGAACAAATGGGTTACGGTGATTTCCATAAGTCTCAAATCCGGGACGAAGGTGTACCACCTCTTGTAAATGACGAAAATTATTTGCGAAATGATGATAATCCTACCTTAGTGAATGAAGGTAGTGGTTTTGCACAAAATATTCCCAACAGGTGTCATATTACGATTGAAACTGCTAGACTCAAATGGAGAAAACATTCCTGAGAGTTTTGGGAAGATAGCATTCGTTTTCAGAATGAGACAAAATATTCCATATAAATTTTTCAGTTATTTTTTTACTCCTGATTTTTTAGATAAGATTGTAAAAGGTCTACTCGATATTCAATCCAAAAAAATCCCGACCGACCAGATCCAATCACAAAATCAAAGTTACAATAGTACTTGATGGGAATTAATATCTATGTCAGTTTTTCATCATCCAAATATAGGAGCTTACTGGAATAAAAAATACGGAATTATGCCAATTATACAGAGTATGACATTATATAGATTTGAAAAAATTTGATATATATTACATTTTAACGACAACTTCAAACATCTGCCTATAGACAACCCCAACCACGATAAACTACACAAGCTGCGACCTGAGGTAGAACATCTGAATGAGAGTTTCCAGCATTCATATAGACCAAAGGCTCTCCATAGATGAACACATAAAAATGTGTGCAACGAAAATGGGCCACTTCCTAAAACAATACCTTCCAAATAAACCTCACAAATGGGGGGGTTCAAACTTTATATGCTATATTCTCTGGTAGGGTATGCATACAAAATTATAATTTATACAGGAAAAGATAATGAAGCTATGTTGGAAAACGAACCATATCTGGGAGTGGTTGGGAACACTGTTGTAAAATTGTTGAGGATTATCCCACGCAAAGTAAACCACATTGTTTACTTTCACAATTTCCACACCTCTTTATCTCACATGTATTACTTAGCTAAGAAAGGGATATTATGTCTGGGAACTATTCAACAAAATCGGTTAGGTAGGAAAGTTACTTAACTTACCGTACAAAAAATGACGTTAATGCATAATGTATCAAAAATGATACAAACTTTTTTTTTATTAAAATTACTTTAAAAAAAATGAAAATAATTTTTTTCTTTATTTTTCCCAAATTTAAGACCTAAACATCTAAATTATATGTTTAAATTAGTTAAAACAAAAAGTTCATGCACTTAAGCATTAATATTAAACGTGTTACTAAGAAAGTAAACATTAGGCAAAAACTTAAGAAACGAAAACGTGAATTGATTCGCACAGGAGCGCGCACATTTAGTGTGCGATCATTTCAAATGAAAGTAAAATCTTTATTTACACGTATTTTCAAAAACTGTAATTTCGTTATATCATTATTTATATAATTGACCTTAAAAATAAAATTTGGCTACTCTTTGAATAATAACCCTGTATTGTTACAATTTTTTACACATTTGTTACTTTTGAAATTATGTCGACAACAAAATAATATTTATACTGTTACGACAAATCTAGATCGACAAATCTAAAATTATTTTTACCACAAATCAAATTTAAATAAAAACATGCAATTATTTCCTGAAAAACATCCTTACTGTCACAATTTATCAAACTTATACCTATTCATCCATCCATTACAGCTTGTAAAAATCCTCTGTTGAACATAAATTTTATGTACGCGGTAGAGCCATACTGCAGTTATATTAGAAGTATAGTTATAGCACGAATGGGTCGGCTCAACCGGGGAAGGACCACGCTCTCACAGAATACCAGCGTAAAATAGCAGCTTAATACTGCTGTGTTTCGTATGGTGAGTGTTGAGAACTGGAGACCCTTTTTTACTGGAAACGATGCAATCCAACCAAGTCCTCACGAATGACAACGCATCTGCATTTTGATTCGTAATCGAGTTGTTTTGCCTTTGAAAACTTAACTTTAACTTTGAAAAAATAAGAATAGATGTTGATGTCTATGGGCCACAGCAGCCACTTAGCATCAGGTGGACTATGTGCTCGTTTGTCATCCTATCCTATTAAAAAAAGCATTTTCCATAGTTCCCACACTTGGAAATTTTTGGCATTGGCATGGCATGACAATTTTTTTATAATTTTTTGTTGTTATCATGAAGATGCTGCTGGCCATCTTTTGTCTCATTCTACCCCGGTTGCCTCTACAGCACCGACGGGACGCTATGGGGTGGTGGATGGGTGTCAAATGCTCATTTATTTTTATTACAAAAGAAGAAAACAAAATAAAATTAACAAATGTTTTTAAAGTAACACTTTGTTACATTTTCTTTCAGGGAGTTATTTCTATAAGCGCTAATACGCCTCTAGTGGACGAATACACCTCGCTAGTTTACTATCACGAAGATAGACCGAGATGGCAAGAGATTTTCAAGGTGAGTCTTTTTAAATAATCTTTCATTATTTTCTTTAAACTTATTGAAACTTTATTGAATAATTATTTTAATGTATATTTTGAAAAAATATGGTCATTGGCCACACATTTACTTCTAAATTGTTATTTGTGATATATAAAAAGAGTCGGAAAGGAATATTTTGAAAGCGTGTTTATGAGTGAGGAGACAACGTGTGTACTAAGTGAAGTAGAAACTCCAGAAGAGAGGAAAGAGGTAGCGAGATAAGTATAGATGAAATAATGAAAGCAATGAAAAGCATGAAAGCAGGTAAGTCTGCCGGATACGATAAGAGTTTCACTCGAAATGCTAAGGGCTGGAAAGGAAGTGGTGGCAGGCCTGCTGCACACCTTGTTTAATTTATGCTGGGAACTGAAGCGGGTACCGGGAGACTGGTGCAAAGCCGTGATAGTCCCAGTATATAAGGGAAGAGGGTCGCAGCCGGACTGTAAAAACTACCGTGGCATCAGCCTTCTTAGCATTGTGGGAAAACTGTATGCTAAGGTACTGATTGAAAGGGTCTTGAAAGAAACTGATGGAAATATTTGGGATGTGCAAGCAGGATTTAGAAAGGGAATGGAATGTACAGATCAAGTCTTTTCCATGCGCATGATCGCGGAGAAGTTTTTGGTCAAAAACCAAAAGGTTTTTTGTGCGTTCATGGACTTGGAAAATGCCTATGACAGAGTGGATAGGGATGTGCTATGGCAAACACTGAACTCATTTGGGTTGAGCGCTGGCTTGATACAGGCATTGGAGTCCCTTTATAGGGACTCTAGTGCTTGTGTTAGGATCAACGGGGTCTACTCGGACTGGTTTGACATCCATAAAGGTGTCAGACAGGGCTGTGTGGCTTCCCCGTGGCTGTTCAATCTATTTATGGACAGTTGTTTGCAAAATTTGAAAATTGAAGAATACGGATTAAGAATGGGTGAGTTAACCGTCAAATGCCTTTTGTACGCCGATGATCAAGTTATCTTTGCGTCGTCGGCGGCCGAGTTGCAAATGATGGTTACATTAATGAACAGATCATTAAAAGAAAGGGGTATGAAAGTGAACGCAAGTAAGACGAAGGTTATGGTTTTTGAAAGAGAAGAAAGTAAAACGATTTGTGAAATAAGAATAGAAGGGGAGTTGATCGAGCAAGTAGATGAGTTTGTATATTTGGGCTGCGTATTTAGCAGGGATGGGAGATATGATAAGGATATAGAACGACGAGTGAATGCGGGAAATAGAGTAAATGGGGCCTTGCACTCTATTGTAAAGAGTCAAAATGTGTCAAAAAAGGCACGTATGGCAATTCACAATGCTGTGTTGGTCCCTACTTTAACGTATGGTAGTGAAAGTTGGGTGTGGCAGAAGAAGCACGAGAGTAGAATCAACGCAGTAGAAATGCGGTCGTTAAGGAGTATGTTAGGGCTGAATCTGAACGACAGGGTAAGGAATTGTGTAATAAGAGAAGAGTGTGGTTTGCAAGATGATGTTGTGACCAGGATTAAGAAAGGAATGCTTCGGTGGTTTGGTCATGTGGAAAGAATGAATGAGGAAAGAGTGACAAAGAAAATTTATGGTGCAGAAGTGAATGGCAGAGTCGGAAAGGGACGTCCTAGGCGAAAATTTATCGACCAAATTGGCGATTTATTGAAAACGGGCCAAATTAGGAGTACCCTTAACCGACGAGCATGTATGCGTAGGTGTATGGATGTGGAGGAGGCTAGAGAGGTGTGTCAGGATCGTGCCCAATGGAAGTCTGTAGTCTCTGCCTACCCCTCTGGGTGACAGGCGTGAGTGTTTATGTTTATATGTATGTTTATGTTATGTAAAAAGGGTCTCCGGTTCTCTACACTCACCATGTGAAGCACAGCAGCATAAATCTATTATACGCTTGTGTTCTGTATTTCGTATGGTGAGTGTAGAGAACCGGAGACCCTTTTTGCTGGACACGAGGCATTCCATCCTAGTCCTCACGGGTGACAACGCATTTGCAATTTGATTTTTAATCGAAGATAGATGTGGCCTATGGGCTATCCACTTACCATCAGGTGAACTTTGTGCTCGATTACCTTAATTCTATAAAAATAAAACAAGTTCAGTACCTGAATTTGAAATTGCCGCCCCTATACACGTTTTAAATAACGTGCGTTTTCGTTCACACTGTCTGACTTTTAATTTCTAAATAAATAAATATTGCTTTATCGTTTCTTTTTTGAATTTATTTTGAGTCCGGCCCGCTAGCGTAATTTTGTATATGAGCCTTATTGAGTATGAAGCTCCACTTGTGCTGGTGGAATTCTGGGATTAAATAAATACTTCGAAATGTAGACTGTAATTGAATAGGTTCTGATATAACATACAAGTAAGAGTAGCGCAGTGCTTTGTAAACGATGGTGGTGGGCTGCGAAGCGCTCGCAGTACCGGTTTGGAATTTCACACGACTGTCGTAAATGTTTTGAATTTTAAGATGTTGTAAGCGACCTACAAAAAGCATTATCCCATCTTACGGGTATTGAGAATCGACTGTGGTAAATGCTATATTTGAAGACTGAGATCTAGTCTTCAAATGTAGCTGTGATCTCTAATCCATTTGCCAAGTATTGAATCATATTCTTCTTAAGGAGAAGCAGATGTAATAACATGAGTTTTCAAAGACTTGCGGAGATGAAAAATTCTTCGACCTTCCAGCACAATTTAAAGAGATAACATTTATGAAACGCCTTTGATGTCTGACGATGCCGCCGCCCGCTTAGGTATTTACTATTTACGCTGCTGTCAAAAATATGCTAGGGGCTATCACGAAATTGGGAATAAAATAATTTTGGATATTATATGAGTATTATAAAATATCCAAATCCAAATACATACTTATAATTAAAAATAATTTATTGAACAAAATAATTTTTATTACTACAATAGAAAATACATTTACGAGTGTTTTCGACTGTTTAATTAATAATTAGTAGTATATTCATTCGCATTCGGATGAACAGTTTTATCAAAAAAATTAGGTAAACAAGCATGGCCGTCATTTGAATTTTATACGTGGTAGGTACCGCTACGCTGCAGCTATATTATGGTTGTAGCATGAATGGGTCGATTCGACAGAATACTAGCATAGATTAGCAGCTTAATACAGCTGTGCTTCGTATGGTGAGTGTAGAGATCCGGAGATCCTTTTTTATTGGAAACTAGGCATTCCATCTTTGTCCTTAGGGGTGAAAACGCTCTGTGTTTTGATTTTTAATCGTTTAGATAAATGTAGATGTCTATGGGCCACAGTGCTCGTTTGTCAACCTTATTCTATGTTTAAAAAAAACTTTACTTAGTAGATATAACTACAATAGTAATTCACCATAAAAGGTATTATATTTTTCGTAAACCGCACTTAAAATTAGTCGTATAAGTACTATAAAACACGCCCGCGTCAACCGTATGTATTGTGTTGACTAATGGAATGCGCTGGCACAGAGTCGCGCCGCCCGCTGCCTCGCAAGGCCTCCGCCGTTGCTCTGCACAAGTAGGTACATTCGTTTCCCAACTGTTGGACTTTACACTGTGCTTCTAGTAATTTTTTGAATGAAAGGGGCTAGTGACAAGGATCTTATTCTTCCACCTATACTCTAAGTTTGCAAGTGTCATTGAATGGAAGTAGGTATTTAACATACAGGTGTACTGTTAGGTGGTTATCACTATTTCTATAATATATATATATTAAATAAAATTGAAATAACTATCTTTTATCGAGTTAAGGGGTGCAAAAATGGATAAAATTATGGTCTATGATGATTACTTAAAAAAAAAACTAAATATTGCCACGTTCATAGAACCCATCCAGGCGAAACCGGGTCGGATTGCTAGTACTAAAGAAAATAATTAAGTGTGTGACCTTGAATAAACAGTATTGATAATTGAAGAATCTTTTCAAACAGGTATGCCTCGATATTGAGACCTTCAAGGAGGCACACATAGTGTTTCTGTGCCGGCATCGAAGCTCGAACGAAGCAAAGGACCGAGCGGAGAAATATTTCGCGCTCTCCTACCTGCGTCTTATGCAGAGGGAGGGAACCACCACGCCCGACATGCAACACAATCTCTGTGTATATAAGGTATTTTTACCCTACTTACTCGCGTAGATAAATAATGGGATTATGTAAATGGCAGTTCATCGAGCTTTCCTGATTTAACTATCAGCACACGTAAACTTATTTTTTTAATTTGTTTTTTGATATTGCTACAAGAAAATTGTGTCACGGTATTTTTTATAAGAAAACAATTTACACAGGATAAACATTTTTTACTTAATTGCTTTTGAATTAAACATATTTTGCTTAAAAAATTCTAAAATTCTTTGGTGCACATTTCCAAAAATATCGCAAAAAGATTATTCGAAATCATTAAAGCATACTATCTTATTTAATCGGCTACCGTAAAATTGCTCTCGATATCATAAAAAAGCATTGTTTAACACTATACTGTCAGCACAAAAGGTATGTTAACTAAAGTTGGTGTTTATGACGTTACATTGTTATATTAAAAATAACATACTCTTGTTGTTGCACTTTCTATTTCCTCACTATCATGGATCGATGAGACGGTAATCTGACACGTTGGTCTAGCGGTTGTAGTAGTGCGACTGCTGATCATGAGGTCCTGGGTTCAAATCCCGGGTCGGGCCAAAAAATCAATTATTGAGTTTTTCTGTCAAGAAATTCTCAGTAGCTGCCCGGAGTCAGGAAGTTGACGGTGTCTCACCCCCGTGCCTCAGAAAGCACGTAAAGCCGTTGGTCCTACGCCTGATCTCTTTCCGGTCGTGTCGGTTTACCGTCCCATCGGATTATGAGAGTGAGGGAATCGAGAGTGCACCTGTGCATGCGCATACACTTGGGCACTATAATCCTGTCCTGCGCCGTTGGCTAGCCTCCGTAGAGGCAGGCCGCCGTGGCCGAAATTCGGTCTGGAGGACATTATTATTATTAATCTGACACGACCGGAGAGAGATCAGGCGCAGGACCAACGGCTTTACGTGCTTTCCAAGGTACGTGAGCGAGTCACTGACAATTTGCTGACTCGGGGAAAACTGATTTTGGAGCGAGTGGTGTAATTAAATTTTGGATGTAGATGTGTATGACAGAGATATGTATTTGCAACACCAAACTGTATCCCTTGATTTTGTTATCATCAGTTTTCTGAATTCCTCCACATGCCTCCCACTATGGACGTAAATTTAACCTTTTCACTTTAAAAGTAGTACACTCTAGTCTTTCCTTCCTATAAATTTCCCATTTTGTGATTAATTGTAAGTTCGACAACAAAATCGATTTTGATAAACACTTGCTTATTATGCAATGCCACATGGTTATTTGTGCAAGACAAGAAAGATTATTAGATAAAAGAGAGCAACTTTCATACCACATCTCAAACAAAAGAATACTCCTCCATCTCCATCAACTCTAGAAATGTCTAAGTAGTTAGTGTTTTATAATATCTTCCATTCAAAGCGCATACCAAGCTTAACCATATTTTTCCATAAAGAAGAAAAACAAACCCCAAATTCCGCGAACTTCATATGTCTTCGAAATATTTTTCTTTCTTATTCCTTCGAAATGCAGGTTTCATCACGATGTTTTCCTTCACCGTCGAGCACGTGGTAAATCAGCACTTAAAATTGCAATTAACAATTTCTTTAAAGCCGGTGTGGGGATCGAACCCGGGTTACTCGCGTTCTGTTATATTCACAGCGAGCGTTAACCATCTGAGCTACCACGGCTCTTCTAAAGATTTATAATAATGAAAATTAAAACAATAAGGTGCTTTAAATTTGTAGAATCCGGAAAGAAAACCTATAACACAAAACAAAATTAAAAAAAAAACTGTTTCTGATCTACAGATCGACAACAAACGATCGGGCAGCGATGTAGAAACTGAAGCGGCTGCAGTTTGTCTCGGTTTGCCCTCTAGAAGGGACGAACTGCCAGCAGGCGCAGAGAAAGGTCTTACTAGAGGTCCATTGTCTCTGGTTTACCGCGACTCGCTGACTGTCGCCACAAAGCTTTGTTCTACTAAACTTACGCAACGAGGTGAGTTCCCCAACATCACACATGTTTACTAACATGCATTTCCTCGTATCAAACTAGCAACCATTCACAAACCATAACACACCCTATCCTCAACAAAACATATTCATCATGTATGAGCGAATTCATATATTTGTTGTTGTATCATATCCGGCCCGAAGGACCATAATCATCACCTACACTATAAGGAACGCCTGGTATATGAAACATCGAACTCCAAATACCATGTATCATTATACCGATGTAACATACTCAACTATAGAGTTATCTATTCTTTTTGAATCTGCATACCTCACCCTTACTGATTCTATCTCGTAAATGGCCCAACGGTTGAACATAATCAGTTACACAAGTCTTTAAATAAGTTGGTAATTTTGTATATTCTATGAAGAGGCTTGATACTTTCTTTAAATTAATATGAAATAGGGTATAGAATGTTAAGTAATATTATACGCCGTACGCCCCACAGCCTGCGAGGGTTTTGTTTGCGATAGTGTGATTCAGTGAAACTTATCCACTTTAATGTATTGTTGTTTTTATTTAGAGGAAATCCTCGGCGTGCTAAAATGGAACACGCACTATGCAGCGGGTACGTTACGCACAGCATTACAGCGGTTGCTGCTCGTTCCCAGCGAGGAACTGGTCAAATTCCTGCAGGATATACTGGACGCACTCTTTAATATACTCACACAGGTAGGTAAGAAATTGTGTGAACTAAAAGTTATAAACGTAAATTTGCTAATATGTTAATACATTTTCGCTGTGATGCCTCGTATTTCTTATCTTAATAAATAAAAATCCCGGGTCACGATGTTCGTTCACAATTAGGCACAAATTTTATAAATATAAATGTGTGTTTAACAAATTTTATATTGCTCGCATATAGTTTAGAGTTTAGACAATAGTTTTTATATTGCGAATTTAATAATTTTAATATAGTATGGGAGGGGTCTCAAAAACTACAGCCTTGTTTGCATAGATGCCTCTGTGATACAATAGCTCTTCATCGGTCAATCAAATAATAAAGGGCCAAAAGGTCGCTTATTTAATCGACACCATTTTGACAGTTGACATTATAGTAAATATTTTAGTCGAATTCAGTATGGTGTAAAGTAGTTAGTTTTTTTTAATTGATTTTTCGAAGTGTTTATAATTATTGCCTAAGCTTGTTTATTTTTATTTTCTTAATATGTTAGTTATAGTATACGACTTTTTGTTTTTGTCTCTGTCCTCCTCCTAGGTTTGGTTTTAAAGGTCGACAAAGCTTAATCACTCACGTACCTTAGGGCAAAGGATCGTCGGCAGGGGCAGAACAACTCCTGCCTGGCCAACTAACTTGTTATCAATAAAAAAATGATGCTGATGATGTGAAATTTTCATTTTATTTCATTTCAATATTTCAAAATATCGTACATGTAGTGAAAAATTTAAATAAAAAGTGCCCCTCATTTTAACTAATCAAAAATTTACTCTTGCATATATTTCTATTATAATTACGAGTGGTGATTCAAAAATAATGATAATGAATATTTCTTTTTTTCCATTCTAATTTTTTTATTTTCTCCATACTGTTATCACTTCGATGATTTGTAATCAAATGACTGTACCTCCCGGGAATCTTCCTCCTCGCTGATCTGTGGGCACATAAGCCAGCAAAAAAAATTTTGATTTTTATGTGCACTGAAATACCACCATATATAGTTGCCGACACGAGTCGTGAGCACAGATAAACTGTGGTGGGAGGTAGGTACACTGTCGGGCAAAATTATTGGGTACCTTTCTTATTTCAATTCGTAATTGAATATTTTCGCCGACTGTTATGAAAAAGTTTACTCGAACACATCAACTTTTACTTTGATACAGTAATGTTGTAGATATTCGTGTCCGTTATTTTATTATCTACTATAAAGTATTTAACGTATACCTGGTGGTTATGAAGAAAGAATGATATGCCTTCCATAAAATCTGGTGTTGCGGTGCGCCGTACAGTGGCTACTGAGACATTAGTCGCCTCAGCAGTCTGTTTATATACGTCTATGATGTTTTTCGCAGTACCTAATTTTTATACCTATAATTTTATACACCCCTCATACTAATGGTATAAGGTGTGCACTTTCGAACTAACCAACATTTTATTTGACTTCTTTATTAAATAAAGATGTGGTTAAAATTAATTTAGATTATTTTTTCGTTACGGGGTGCTATAAGTATTGAAAACCGTGTTTATACGTTCCAGAAGGAATTACAAAACGGTCACAATGAACAAGGTTATATTTCAGAAGAAAATTAATTTTACACAAATGTGTCGAATATTACTTTAGGTTTTTTTTTAATAGAAAACTGGTGACAAACGAGCAAACAGTAAGTGGATGCTGTGGCCCATACACATCTATCTACTACGTTATTCCTCGATTAAGAATCTAAGAGCACATGTGTTGCACACCTGAGGAATAAGATGAAATGCCTCGTTTCCAGTAAAAAAGGGTCTCCGGTTCTCTACGCTCGCCATACAAATAGCAGCGTGAAGCTGCTATTTTACGCTGGTATTCTGTAAGAGCGTGGTCCTTCTTTGATCGAGTCGATCCATTCGTGCTAAAATATATTTTATCTATAGGTGGAGGAAGATGAGGAAGGCTACACGGAGCAGAGCTACGGGGTACTTGTTTTCGAGTGCCTCTTGAGAGTGATATCGCTGGTAGCTGATCACAAGTTCCAGCACTTCCAGCCCGTGTTGCATGTCTACATTGACGAGAGCTTCTGCGACGCGTTGGCTTACGAGTAAGTGCTTTTGTGAGACTTACATCTCGAAGGATTTTACGCTTTAAAGAGGGTAGGAAGATTAATGTGAAGCATACATAAATATAATAAAATGTAAGCAAATAAATAAATAAAGAAAATAAGTTTATTTGGTAACACATTACAGTAATAGCATAATATTATAAATTTGGTAAATAGTTATTAAAAAGGTACCTATTCAACTGATCAAAGTATTCGTATTATACGGAACCGGGGATAGAGCTTTTTTTTAAAAAAATATTTATTACACAACATGTTGTAATTGAATAAAATTAACAATAAAGATTTAATAAACTTAGGATATAGAAATAACCGAGAATTAGAATATAGCTATGGTAAAGATCTGGTAAAGATATAGCAACGACTTAGTAATGATATATGAATGAGACTAACTGTAAATTGTATATTGATTAGGCGTCCGTGGGGAGATCGATTATATAGGACTTATGTCTCTGACGCAGCAGCGTGAAAGAGATGCGTTAACCGATCTCCCAACACGTACTTCGACGCTGTACTTCCGTAGATGCCAATAAATATATTTTCATGTATCGACGGTTAGACAACACGTACATTTTATATTTGATGATGCATTCTGATATAACGCCGACAACAATTACGTTACGCTATTGACCCGTTAAACTGATCGTCGGATATTTCATCATCATCATCATTGCAGCCCTTCACAAGTCCACTACTGAACATAGGCCTCCCCCAAGTACGTCGGATACTTAAGACGCCTTAATTCACCAAACAATGAGATGTTAGAACATCTTTAATTATAAAATTATTAGCATTAAGTAATATAAGTTTAACCGTGTAGTATAAGAGTACTCATTACTCCATATCATCCTGTGGGCGTAAACGGCGACAGAGTGAAACTGAAACATTGACGGCAACAGCAACAGCATTTTCCTGAAAACAATTCAAAATTATAAAAAAACTGCAGTTGCTAACCTTCCTGCAAAGCATGGCAACTATGGCAAAATTCCTAAGGGAAGGGAGGAAAGAAAGTTGAAAGAAGTTGTTTGGAGAAGGTTTTTTTTAGCAGTGGATTTTTATTGGCTGTAATGGAATATATGTATATAATTTATTTATTTATTTATTAAAGCTTTTATATTACCACTGCAATTTACATACATACAAGAAAACATCACAAATTGCGTTATTGTTTAAGACATGGCCCCGTTCCGGGTATAGGCCTCCTCCAACTGTTTCCATTTGATCCTATTTTGCGCTTTCAACATCCAATCTCTACCAGCTATTCTTTGGATTTCATCGATCCAGCGATCTTTAGGTCTCCCTTTACTCCTTGTTCCGCTTGGGCCCGTCCATTCGGTGACTCGTTTCGTCCATCTTCCGTCTGTAACCCGGGCTATGTGTCCCGCCCAACTCCACTTAAGCTGTTATGCGTGTTGTCCTGCGTCTATCAATTTAGTTTTCCTGCGAATATCCTCGCTCTTACGTTTGTCAAGGAGCTTACAAACGTAAGAGCGAGGAATGGAATATATGTATATAATCGAAATTTATTCTTGTAACTTTGAAATTTAAAAAAAATGTTTTTTTTTACTGCTCATCTTGTAATTTACGTTTTAATTTCATATCAGCTACAAACATCACAAAATGAACAGATTATGGTTATAAGATGATTGTGTATCTTTTTATATTATTGTGTAATGATTCCGGCTTAAAGGACCAAAATCAAGATGTTAGAGAATGAGAGAGATTTAATGGTTTTAATCGTCAACACTGTCAAGCGTGACAGTAAAGGTGTTACGGCTTGAATGTTTCGCAATGTGTTTCGTGGGTGGTTTTGGGAACCAGAGAACAACCAGACCAAGGGCTGGCTAACCCGATGATCCCAACCGGGAAGTAAACGAAAATAGCTTTAGAACTGGGTAGATAAGGTAAGGATACTCACAAGACTGGAGCACTCATCGTTGTTATGGTGAAGTCTGTATATTTAGGCTGAAGTTCTCGTGTATACACAGATACCACACTGCACTTCGAATGTATATGGACACGAGCAATTGCACGATAGTCTTACAACTTATTTATTGGTTATTTTTAAACAAGCGGTAACGAACACGTTTTATGCGTGCGCGGCCATCTTCCTTCTTTTTTTCTCGACGATAGGTGGCGCACCATTCTGAGCATACGGGGGAGGCGGGAGGATAGGAAACACTTAGGAAAAGGATGTTATATCGGGACTTTTCCGAAGCCACAACATTCCTTCCCACCTGAAATCACCTAGGGATTTCACAAGACAACCATCGACCCGGCAGCTCTCCAGGTCCCCAGTTGCTCATAGAATATAAATTAATATAAACTAAATAGATATCTGAGCTAAGTTGTGCATTGATAACCTTAACTAAACTACAAAAGAAAATCAAACTTAGTTAATTTAATTTTAAAATTAGAACTTACAATCTAGCTTAATAAAACAATAAAAATAAGATTCAATCAAGAGGAAGAGGGCAGACTTTGACTACTGGTCTTGTAAGTAGGCCTCTTTTGGTCTTTAAGGTCACAACCCGGATAATATTGTCCTTTCCGGGGTGGATTTGGACTACTCGACCTAGGCGCCATTCGTTAGGTGGTAGATTAGGTTCAATGATTGAAACGAGTTGACCAATATTAGGATGTTTGTGATCATTCTTAAACCACTTAACCTTTTGTTGAAGCGTATATAAATAATCACTTTGCCAAATACGCCAAAAACTTTGAGAAAGCTTTTGAAGTAACTGCCAGCGTGTTCTAGGATTCATATCTTCAGCGGACGGTTCTGGTAGAGCTACTAAAGGACGTCCTATAATAAAATGACCGACCGTGAGAACATCAACTTCGCCAGGATCAGACGATAACTGACAAATCGGTCTTGAGTTCAGCATCGCTTCAACTTTAATGATGAAAAACTGTAGTTAGTTCTTCAAACGTCAGGACTTGTGAGCCTATGACCCTCTTGAGATAATATTTAGTAGATTTTATACCACTTTCAAAAATGCCTCCAAAGTGAGGTGCTGAAGGTGGATTTAATTTCCACGAGATTCCACGAGACGTTAATTGATCAGAAATATCCTGTTTTTTATCTATCAATAATTTAACCATTTCCTCAAGATATCGTTTAGCGCCTACAAAGTTAGTGCCACAATCTGTCACAATATGTTGACATATTCCACGTCGAGACACGAATCTGTCTAGGGCGGCTAGAAACGCTTCTGTAGACAGTTCAGATACAGGTTCTAAATGAACTGCTTTTACAGATAAACAAATGAACAAGCATATGTAAGCCTTACTGACCCGTGCGTTACGTCGTCTGTTTTCTTTTATAAGAAAAGGACCGCCAAAATCAATCCCTACCTGTTGAAAACAGTAACCTTGTTGAGATCTACAAGGTGGCAGGTTGCCCATAGACGGCTGATAGGGTATAGGTTTAACCCGAAAGCAAGTCACACACTTTGTTAAAACAGAACGAATAAGATTTCGAATTCCTAAAATACAGAACTTGCGAACAATTAGTGATTGTAACGTGCGAGGTCCACAGTGCAAATACCGTTTATGATAATAGCTAATAATTAATTGAGATAAAATAGATTGTTTCGGTAACAAATATGGATGTTTTGTGTGCTCAGGTAAGTTGAAATTGGTAAGTCGTCCACCCACTCGCATGAGTCCTAGGTTATCAATAAACGGAGACAACTTTTGTAAGTATTTAGGTAGAGGCTTCTGCGATTTTAATTTAGACATCACTTGATTGAAGCTGCCCCGTTGGACATATTTAATAAGGCTAAGTAGAGAGCACTTTACCTCATTCGTAGTCAAGTGACCTTTCTCGAGTTTTTTTTTTTTTTTTTTTTTTTTTACAACTATCACACAACGCCATCTAGTCCCAAGCTAAGCAGAGCTTGTGTTATGGGTACTAGATAACGACCAACAGGCCTGTCGAGTTGGCTTGGTTCTTTGCGCGAATTAGAAATGAAGCGAAAGACCCATGCCAATATTCGCTGTAGTCGCGATAAGGATGAATACCGATTTAATAACACCTTCATAATGTCTTTATCAGATTCCCGAGATTGAGCAATCAGAGTGCGTGTTCTCAACTCTGGCAACTCATCCTGGGGCTTACACCGAATTTGAGCTGGCCAGTGATCTGGACTACTAAGCATCCAATCTGGTCCTGACCACCATCGCTTACAATTGACCAATTCTGCACACGAGAGACCTCGGCTAGGAAAGTCAGCAGGATTGTCCTGAGTCGAGACATGCCTCCAGGTAGAAGGTTCAACTGCGTCAGTTATTTTAACTACTCGATGCGCAACAAAAGGTTTCAATTTGTATGGCTCTGTATTGATCCAAGCTAATACAGTTGAGCTATCAGTGTAGGCAACAATATGAGATATATTTATTTTCGAAATAAGTAAAGTTTGCATGTGTTTGAGAGTACGTGATAACAAGAGCGCACCGCACAACTCCAAACGATTAACTGTTAGAGGCTTAATCGGAGCCACTTTAGATTTAGAAATCAAAAGAGAAACTTGTTTTTGATCATCGATACTTGATCGGAGATAGACACAGCACCCATATGCTTTGGTTGATCCATCGCAAAACCCAATCAGCTGGTGTGTAGCTGTTAAATCAATCACGGTTTTACGAGGGATTTTTATCGATTTTATATTAGACAAGTCAGACACAAATGAAACCCAATCGTCACACAGATTGGCGGGAATGATTTCATCCCAAGACAATCCAATACGCCATAAGTTTTGAAGAAGTAGTTTGGCTAAAAGAATAAAAGGTGAAAGCCAACCCAACGGATCATAAATACGAGCAACGTGGGACAGGATTGAACGTTTCGTAAACTCCACATTCACAGGAGAGACGGAGTAAGTGAAATAGTCTTCCGCAGGATCCCATTGAACTCCTAAAACCTTAAGCGTTATTGAACTATCATCAGAAAATGTCTTCGGACACTGACAATGTTCCATGGGTAACGATCGAAGAAATAAAGGGCTGTTACTGCTCCACTTACGCAAATCTAGCTGAGCACAATTAAGAAGATTGATTAAATCTTCTTTAAGCTGAGAGGCTGCTTCGACTAAGGAAGCACCTGTAGTAATATCGTCCATGTAAGTATGATGCCGAAGAGCTTCAGCTGCATGAGGAAACTGATCACCGTGATCTGCGGCTAACTGATGTAATGTTCGTATCGCTAAGTACGGCGAGCTTTTGACTCCGTATGTGACCGTACGAAGTTCAAATTCTTGAACAGGCAAGGAAGGGTATTCACGCCATAGTACGTGTTGCCACACTCGATCCTCAGGCCTTATCAAGATTTGCCTGTACATCTTAGATATGTCACATGTAAAAACTATATTATGGACCCGAAATCCAGTAATAATGTCAACCAAATCAGCCTGTAACTTCGGTCCAGTGTAAACAATATCATTTAAAGATAGTCCATTAGTCGTCTTGTGACTCGCATTGAATACAACGCGAAGTTTGGTCGTTATGCTTTCTGGACGAATCACACAATGGTGAGGAATGAAATATCTACCAGGGGTAATATCCTTTCCCACTGGTTGCATATGATTAAGCTGCTCATAATCACGCATAAAATCGTTATAAAGTGATTTAAGATCTGGTTGTCGGCAAAGTTTTTTCTCAAGATTTATAAACTGCGACAAAGAACTATTATATGAGCCTCCCATATAGACAGACGACTGCGTCAATAAGATAGGGACTACATATCGACCGTCCGATTCCCTATAAGTTTGAGTGGAATACAGGCGTTCGACCTCCTCATCTTCTGGAGCAGGTATATGTTGATGAGGCGGTTCCTCGACTTCCCAAAATCGTTTCATCATCTTCTCCAATGAATTGGTTGAAGTAATTAACGAAGTGCCAACCGATTTTACCGGACTCTCCACATTGGTGGGTCCTGAGAGAACCCAACCAAAGACGCTATGTAAAGCAGCACAATAGCCGGGCTCTGGTTGAATGACACGGCCGTCATAGATGTGATGAAATACTTCAGCACCTAGCAATAAATCAACATCTGACGGTTTGTCAAAGTCACGGTCCGTCAATACTAAGTGTTTATAACAGTCTCGAACCGCTAGAGGAATATCAGTGGTTGGCATTTTAGAAGTAATGCTATCGATGACTATAGGATTAATATCAAATTGTGGGTCATTCGAATCACACGGGCGTATAGAGCATTGAGTCACTCCCTTGACTTGACACACAGACTGTTGTCCAAGTCCAGCCACAGTTGTGGTGCATCGACGTAATTGAAAACCAAGTCTCTTTGCGCATTTCATGGTGATGAAGCAGTCCTGAGCGCCGCTATCGATGAGCGCTCTAACTTGATGGAACGTGCCACTAGAGTCCTGCACACGCACCATGCACGTCGCGAGCAGCACCACGCACGGGCCACGAGCCTCTCCCACGAACGCACTCGTGTTAGTGTGGGCGCTACTCGAACCGGTGGTCACCGCGGTCGGTGATCGAACTTGGTTGTCGATGTGTACCAGAGTGTGATGATTATCACTACAGATAAAACATCTCATTTTTGAGACGCATTTATCAAGAGAATGTTTTCGTAAACAGTTAATGCATAAATTATTTTGTTTGACAATATTTATTCTAGCACTGGTGTCCAAAGATTGAAAAGTGGGGCACTTATAGATACTGTGTGCTGCGCCACAATAATAGCACTCTAGTGAAGCCAGCTGCTTCGAACTAGTAGGCTTAGACTGAGTAGTGAGCACGGAACGTTTCAGGTTCGTTGCCCGCGGTGAAACATTCTTGATCTGTTTACCGCCTAAAAATTGAGAAGATCGCGCCCTAATGTCAACATTAGCATTTATTTCTAAAACTTTTACATAGTTTTGAAGAAACTGCATAAGACTTTGAAAAGAAGGAATTTCCGATTTATTTTCAGATTCGAAGCGGTGGCGCGTATCGGAGTCCAGTGCGCGAAACGCTGCGTTAAATAAAATAAAATCGCCTAAGTCATCTAGCTCTAAGGCCTTAAGGGCATTGACTGACTCACAAAGAATATTAGTATATGTTTGTAAATCATTGAAATTAGGAGTTTTTAAATAAGGATAGTCATTTATTTGATCTAAATACGCCACTGCTAAAATGCGCTTATTTTGATAACGCTTAATAAGTTCATTGAATACAAGCTCATAATTATCGGAAGTTAATTTTACCTTCTTTGCGATCCCTAAAGCGGATCCCGATAAACAAGAAATGAGATAGTGAAATTTAGTAATATTCGCGATTGATTTATTATTATGAATTAACGTTACGAAAGTGTCGTAAAATGTTTGCCAATTCTCAATTTTTCCGTCGAACTTCAGAAGCTCAATTTGTGGCAGTCTAGCTTGTACCTTTTCCGCGTCATGCGTAAAGGTGTAGTTAACGTCAGCGGACGTTGGGCTGCTGCCTCGTTTGCGCTCCGGTAGGGACATCTCCGCGGCAAAACTTAGAACTTCATAGTACATATCATCAAATGCAGACAACGCTTGCATATCTATTTTTTCTTTAGGAAACAGTGCCAGTTTTAACGAATTAATTTTTTCCGTAAGCAACACATATTCATCACGAATGTTCTCAATTTTAAGAAATCTAGATTTAAATTGGCTAACTTTAGAAGAACTGGAGTCTTCCCGTATTTGAGTGGATAAATCGAAAAGAGTTTGAATAGAACGAAAAACATACTCTCGCTGTGACGTATAAAGTTTAAGTTTCATTTCTTCTTGCGACATGATTATAAAATAACAGCGAAAAATTAAATATGAATGTTAAGTATAATTATTAACGACAGATATTTAAAACAATATTTAAGTTTCTCCAAACTAAATTAACATTCAAATACTGAATTTAATGTTAACGTTTTTTTTTAACCATTTGAATTAGATAACAATTAACAAACGACCCAACATTCATAGATATACAAGTATTTATACTTAAGTGCTATTATTCTAAGACCAAATTAATCATTTCCATAAACTGATTTAGTAATTTTTTCCAACAATAATTATAAAATACCTTCAAATTATAATAATTTTCAAAGCGTAAGACTATCAATGCACATTCGAAATAAACTTAGCAATTATAACGCAACCAAATAAGATAAGTCTGCAAAGTCTGAGCAATACGAAACACTTCACGAGCATTCAAGTCTAGCAGGATTATAATTGAAATGAATTAGTTACTTTCAATTATAAGAAAAATAGATTAAATATCAAAGTTTTCCTTAGAAATTGAACTTGATATTATCTTTATGAGGAGCGGACTGTATAAAATAGAAATCCATAGGTACCCGGATCGTATGGACCAGAAATTATGTTACGGCTTGAATGTTTCGCAATGTGTTTCGTGGGTGGTTTTGGGAACCAGAGAACAACCAGACCAAGGGCTGGCTAACCCGATGATCCCAACCGGGAAGTAAACGAAAATAGCTTTAGAACTGGGTAGATAAGGTAAGGATACTCACAAGACTGGAGCACTCATCGTTGTTATGGTGAAGTCTGTATATTTAGGCTGAAGTTCTCGTGTATACACAGATACCACACTGCACTTCGAATGTATATGGACACGAGCAATTGCACGATAGTCTTACAACTTATTTATTGGTTATTTTTAAACAAGCGGTAACGAACACGTTTTATGCGTGCGCGGCCATCTTTCTTCTTTTTTTTCTCGACGATAGGTGGCGCACCATTCTGAGCAGTGCGTATACGGGGGAGGCGGGAGGATAGGAAACACTTAGGAAAAGGATGTTATATCGGGACTGTTCCGAAGCCACAACAAAAGGCAAATCCTACAATGGGAGAGGTTTATACCCAGTAACTCTCAACTTCTCATGGTTCTACCGACCCTCAGGTTTTAGGGGTCTAATTTTTATATTTTTGTAGAATAAGGGTAACAAATGAGTACATAGTTCATCTGAGGGTAAGTGAAGGCTGCGGCCTATAGACATCTACATTTATATTGGATTTAGAATTAAAATGCAGAAGCGTTGTCACCCCTGAGGATTAAGATGACACGTCTCGATACCAGTTAAAAGGGTCTTCGTTTTTACACTTATTATATGACATAGCAGCATTCAGCTGCCATTTTACGCTGGTATTCTGAGAGTGAGTGGTCCTTCCTCGGCCGTGCTAACCGATTCATGCTTTAACCTTGATATAGCTGCAGCGTGGTTTTGCCATATGTGAATCCCGGGAGATGCATTGGTATTTGAACCAGGCTCTTTCCATTTTATGTCCAATAGTGGAATTTCTTAAGTTCTCGTTTGAAGTAAATCACGTTTAAATCGCTTGTAGGAAGCTGATCTCGGTGATGTCGTGGGCAGTGCGCGCGGCGGAGCGCGGCGAGGCGGCGCTGAAGCGTCTGCTGCTGTGCATGAAGTGCCTGGAGAACCTCACGCGCCTCGTCGTGCGCAGTGCGCAGCTGCAGGCCGCGCTCGCGCAACCCTCGCACGCGCCCCGCGCGATACAAGCCCCCCGCGCCGAGTGCCCGCAGCTGGAGGTGACCTCCCCTCACACTTTTTTTTTATAGGATAGGGTGACAAACGAGCACACAGTCCACCTGATGGTAAGTGGTTGCTGCGGCCCATAGACATCTACATCTATCCTCGATTACAAATCAAAATGCAGATGCGTTGTCACCCGTGAGGACTAAGATGGAATGCCTCGTTTCCAGTAAAAAGGGTCTCCGGTTCTCTACACTCACCATAAGAAGTACAGCAGTATTAAGCTACTATTTCACGCTGGTATTCTGTGAGAGCTTGGTCCTTCCCCGGTCGAGCCGACCCATTCGTACTACAACTATACTACTAATATAACTGCAGCATGGCTCTACCACGTTGAAAACATATATATACACACGACTCCGAGATAGTATTTTATATAACTACTAATACACTCCGGCTTTGTTACGTGCTTGCGCATCCCCGCGCTCCACCCGCCCCTCACACCCCAAACACTACCTGCCCATAGCTAGATATAACCCTCCCTCATCCCTTCGCCCCTCACACACACACATACACACACACACACACACACACACACACGCGCGCGCGCGCCCGCACGCCATCGATATAATATTTATAGCGTCACAAGAGTGATTACTGGATCTCGACAACAGCGCCACCTTCCGGAGCAGATTATAAAAATAATCCATCCAGGAACCATCTCAACACACACAAATAATTTCATTAATATCAGTTCAGCCATCAGTCCAAACACGTAAAACAAGAATTATAATTTATAATATATAAAAAGAAAAGGGATAAACGAGTAGAGAGTCTACAATGCGTACAAGATGCCATATAAATAGTAATGAGCTGACCTGGCACCATGTTGTGACGTGATAACTGTCAATTCCAACCAGATAGAGGTAGGCTTAGCAAAACAGACAACTTTGAAATAGTATTTATTTACAAAAGAACCATGAACGAAATAATACTAGTTTTTAAATACCCGACGTTTCGAAAGCTTTACAGCACTCATGGTCACGGGCAGGACTGAGATGTTCAACGTCCATATGTCATAGTTAACCGCGGTTACCATAGATTAAAATTTAACTTTTTGTTCCGATCTATGCAGTATGAACTTATGGTATCTTGAAGTCTTGCTATCATCTGCTTGGGATCCTATAATAAATAAAATTAAATCCCAACCCAAGCATACAACTGCAAGACTTCATGATACCATAAGTTCATACTGCATAGATCGGAACAAAAGTTAAATTTTAATCTATGGTAACCGCGGTTAACTATGACATATGGACTTGATCTCAGTCCCGGCCGTGACCATGAGTGCTGTAAAGCGTTCGAAACGTCGGGTATTTAAAAAGTTAAATATACGCGATAAATTCCGTAAAAACTAGTATTATTTCAAAGTGTAGTGTTCGCGTAAATATAAGAAATCATTATGTAAACCATGAACGAAATAGAATTAACCCGAGAAATTAAAAATGTTTTATTAAGAGAAAAAATTATACAATAAACAATTCTGTTGGTTTTCTCACTAGGCAAGCCTGTATCGTAGAAACCTGAGAGCAAAGTTCATCAGGCGTTTTTTATACAACTTAACAGACGGATTATATTAACATAATATACACAAAACGGCAATAAAAGAACTGCTTATTGCTTAACATCTATGAACATAAAAAAGAAAGAAACCTTCAAATACCAAGCCAAGTTTTATATAACTGAAATGTTATATTATATTAACTATATATAACTTTCCCATTATACGGATAATCCTTCTGATTCGGTTTGAAAAAACTTCTATGTACGATTTAAATCGCAGATTAGCGTCAACAAGTACACCGACATATTTTATAACCTTAACCTGCATAAGAGACTCACACTTCAAACAGGAGGCATGTATTTTATGAAAACATACGTCTTTTTTGAGTTTAATGTTAGAAGATTATTTTGAACACGCCACAGAGAAATTTGCAACATACCTCGCTCAGCAATAGAACAAACGGATTTCCATGAAGACAAGAGGCATTCGTTTTGGGAGACCTGTGCTAAAGGGTGGACTTGTAAAGGGCTGTAATCATAACAATGATGATGAAGTTTAATAAGCATAGTATTCATATAAATTTTTTTATAGGAGAGGTGGCAAACGAGCACAACTCACCTGATGGTAAGTGATTACCGCCGCCCATGAATAAATGCAACACCAGGAGAATTGCAGATTATTCCTTTTAAAAAGTAGTAGGCTTTTTCTTAAAGGTACCTAAGTCATATCGGTCCGGAAAATATCTCTGGCGGTGGTTGATTCCACAAGGAATTTTTGCGAGGAAGAAAACTTCTTTTAAATCGCACAGTGGTGGATCGCCAGTATTCCAGATGGTGTGGATGGTATCGCGAGTTTTGTCTGGTCTTTTTAGGTGCGATTTTTAGGTGCGGCTGGCATTAGTCCGAACAAGTCCTCAGAGCACTCCCCGTAGTAGATGCGATAAAATACGCAGAGATGCAACATCTCTTCGCGCGCCAGTCATTCAAGCCGATCGAAAAGAGCTCGGTCGCCGACGATTCAAACTGCTCTGCGCACAAAGATGGGAACATTATTCCATGTGCGGCCGAACCTGCACCATGTCAAGTTGCCATTGGTGTGCCGGCATGAAATACTGTTCCGCTCTGCTGAGCACGCCAAGCTTTTTATAGGCCAATTTGGCCTTCTCGTCAGTGGCGAAGCTAGAGCTGCAAACTAGGGCAAGCCCAAGATATGATATTGTCGTTTTTAGCAGTTTTATAAAAATACACCAATCTTGATCTGTCTCCTCATATTTAGTGCTACCGAGGTCATGTTTAACAAAGCACACAGAAGACATACTACCGCTAGATAGATTGTATGACATATGCAGTTGCATACCTTCGGTGACTTTGAAAAGAGCCGTTTGGGTTTGCTTGAGCGAAAGAAAAGGATATTTACATACAATACAATATATGAACAAAAGAAAAGCATGAACAAAGTACAAACAAACTATGTACAAAATTAAAAAAAGGGACGCCTGGCAGATGTGAAACATCGAAAATATTTTGTTTAAACGGATTACGACAGGAATTAGATATGGTATTATGAGAAGATAAAGCTTTGCAAATTTTTTTTACCATAAAATAATGACTACTTATTATATAATTATTCATTTTCAATTTTTAATAAACCGTACAAAATGATATTTTTAACTCTTAAGGTAATATAAATATTAAATAAGCCGATAGCGTGTTTGTGCCATCTAGTGTAACTTTACGTACCACTGTGAGAATCAATCAATTTTCGTTCGATAAAATGACTTCACCTATAGAATTAAGTAGATGGCGCTATTAAAAATTTATATACTGAACTGCGAAGATAAAGCTTTAAGGGCTTAAGTAAATATTATTTAAAAACCTGAATACATCTATTAATTTAATTTATTACATTACAATTTGTGCTTCATATTAAAAAAAGGATTGTAACAATTATTTGCTATAAAATTAAACTTATATCTAGGTATCTCATATTTGATGCTAAAGTTCAAAATGATATTTTTAACTCATATGGTAATATAAGTATTGAGTTATTAAACCTTTAAATACGCCTAGAGTATTTAAACTTCAATACTAAAGAGTCCTGTACCTATTAAAGTATGTAGAAATGTTTATTGAATAAAAATTTCATTTTTAAAGATTTTACCTTTTCCTCGCCGATAAGCACTTAAACACACTTATATTCATCACAAGGAACACTATTGTCCTCCCATTTTCACTAAAAATGTTTGAAAAAGCATAATTTTTTAACAGACACAACAAAAACAAACATAAACATTAAAATGTGAAGTGAACTTGCAAACATATTACCGACGGTTACCGTACTCCCTCGCTAACGCATTCCCAAACAACTTCAGGGCAAAGCACGGCTTTTGGTTCCATAGTAATTGCTATATAAACATTTCGTAGTTATGTTTCATTATAGAACATTTTGCCACAGGTTAGAAAGGGAGTGATCGTTTTCTCGAAAGCCCGGTAAAAAGCCAACGCGTGCGAGAGAGACGACAAAATCAACTCCTTCCTTTAATTAATTTTGACAGTCCAGTGTATTTCGAATTGAAAGCAAACTGCCAAGTGTTGACGTTACATATTATATGCTACGAGGTCATGCCCTTTGAAATAGTTTGAAACAGTTTACGAGTTATTTTATTAGTTGATATTATTGATTGAGCATTTTTATATAGCAAGTCCGGCTTCTGGGCTTCTGTGGAGGCTTCGCCACTGCTTCTCATCCAACTGAAAACGAATCTGCACATCACTCGATATGCCAAAACCGATCGAAGGCCTTCGCTATGTCCAAACTAACGGCGAACGCCTCCTCCTTGGACTCTACTGCTTCCGCCCATTTATGATTTAAAGGTATACGACTTAGGGACGTTCAAGAAAAGAGCCTATTCCTTTTTAAAAGGAATAATCTGAAATTCCCCTGGTGTTGCGATTATTCATGGGCGCGGTAATCACTTACCATCAGGTGAGCCGTATGCTCGTTTGCCACCTCTCCTATAAAAAATGATATAAGTACTAGGCTTATTAAACTTCATCATCATTATGATTACAGCCCTTTACAAGTCCACCCTTTAGCATAGGTCTCCCAAAACGAATGCTTCATGTCTTCATGGAAATCTGTTTGTTCTATTGCTGAGCGAGGTATGTTGCAAATTTCTCTATGGCTATGAAATAATCTTCTAACATGAAGGGGATTACAGGAGCTAAACGCAAGTTTTATAATGCGTCAAAGTATGTGATACACTGCAGTAAACAACACTAGAAAAATATATGATATTTTTCTTGATATATGCTAGTTAACTGTTGTGTTGAAAACATGATACTACTAATTTGATAAGATAGAAAAAAATCAATAAGATACCTCTAAAAAATTTCTTTAAACGATTTATTCGTTAAAAGAAATTTTTATATATACTCATTGAAGTAATATGTACTTACGTACTAGAACAGCTATTTCAAACAAAAAATGTGC